CAGCGCGGCCGAGGAGCAGCGCGGCTCCCGGGGAGGCCCCGGCTCCTGGCAGGGCGGGCTCCTGCCGGGAGAGGGACCTGGCGCCGCGCTGAGAGAAGGACCCGTGAGGGACAGACGAGGAGAGGTTTGTCTGTGTACGCGGTCAGTGGGAGGGGTAACAGCCCCGCTGCCCGCACCTCGGGCGTTGCGCTCCCGCACATGTGCCCTTTGCGGTGCGCACAGTCTGGATGAAAATCGGCGTTGCCCCGGTGTTCGGGTTTCGGGTGCTATCGCGTCTGGTTTTATTCCACATCCCGCTGTTAGTAGCCCGAACTACTTGGGTATTAGTGCTCTGCAGCACTAAATGTGTGTAAGAAACAAACTTCATCCTCAAATCAAGCTGTTTGGGCTGGTCAAAGAATGCTTTTGAATGCTGATTTAGGAGGAAGTTAAGAAGTCTCCATCCCAGTCCCATAAATGAGTGTAAGTGTCTTACAGATCAGGTGAGTATGAAGCATGCAGTGAGGCTTTTTAAATTATTACAGTTTTTAGTGCAACAGTATGAGTGTCACCTCGAGTAAGTTGTGTCAATCTCCTGAAGAAATCAGTTACAGAATTGTGCCATGTATCCCTGTGTATGTCTTTTACTTAGAAAACTTTTGAACCCATTGGCTCATTTCAGCCAGATTTGAAATGCCTGTCTGCAAACTAACAGATGGGGAGAGGAGGAAAACCTGAAACCTGCACTCTGCTGCAAGAAAAGCCTGCAGAAATTAGTCCTTATTGATTCTTTTTGGTAGTATTTGGCAGGGCAATTGGTAAATGCAGAATTCTTCATTAGCCATAGCATGAATTAGAAACATGAGGAAATCTGTCAGATATGGGAAGTGGAAAGGAACTGTGGATAATATGTTGGTGGGTGGAGGAAGGATTTTAGGGTACAAAAGCTTGATTTCTTACAGGTTTGCAACTTCAGCTTATTGGTGGTTTGTTTTGTTTGGTAGTTGTTTGTTTGTGTTTTGTTTGTTTTGGGTTTTTTTAATATATTTTCTGTAGCAGGCTTGTGGGTCTTTTATTTGTTAGGGTTTTTTTTAAAAGAACAGATCCCAACAGCCTCTTTTTATTGACTTCTCTGTAAATCATACTTGGAAGATCTTGAGGTACATCTTCATTTACACACTGTCTGCTGTTTTAAAACAGCCTTTTCCCAAGTTCAAAAATTGCATATGTTAAGTATTTCTCTAGAAGAGTAGCCTCAGTCTTCAAACAGTTCTGTTTTGCAGGGTAAAAATGAACGTAGGAGTTGCCCACAGTGAGGTAAATCCAAACACGAGGGTGATGAACAGTCGTGGAATGTGGCTGACATACGCGCTTGGAGTTGGCATGCTGCACATTGTCTTGCTCAGCATTCCTTTCTTCAGTGTCCCCGTTGCCTGGACTTTAACAAATGTGATTCACAACCTGGTACGTACCCTTTCTTGCCACAAAAATTTGAAAAGTTGTTCCTACGTACTTGTTTGTCGTAGCAGGAGAAGAGAAAAATAGCCAGGCTGTATGCAAGGCTCATGAAATCCAGCCAGCCAAAGCACCACCTCCGCGTGCCTTATCCACTATAAATTAGTTTGCTGGTTTGGGAAGGAGGAGTGATACCTCATCACTTTTAAGCACAAAACACAGGAAATACTCTTTGCATATTTTGTGATTTTAAAAGGCGTTTGATTTAGCCAGAATCTTGCAAACATAAAATCATCATGCCAACCTACTTTTGCAGTGTTTTGTATGTTATTGGAGAGCTGTGCTGAATCCATAAAATATATTACATTTGTAATGCTTGAATGTTACCTACTAATGTTTCTACCGAAATCTGTTAGTATCCCAGAATGTTTAATTTCACCACTTTACCTGTTTGCTCGGACAGAAACATTTTTGTGCTCTTTTTCTTCTTGCTTTGATTTCTGATAAAGCTAGATTGATCTTAGTTCAGAAGGACTTAATGGTGTCAGTATAAAACTTTGTCACTGTACATGACATAAGAAAGATGTTACTTGAAAGCATTGGGAAAAACCTTGACCCAGGCCCTGAAACCATTTGTTATTCAGTGGATTGTCATTTGCATGATGACTTTTGTATGCAAAAAGATTTGGAAGCTGAAGACCTTAAGAGTCTTTTCTGCCCCCTCTCCCTAAGACGGGGAGGATAATTTTGTTGTAATAATTTGAAGTAATGCAGGTATATATACTGGTCATGCCAAGCTTAGAGAGAAGAGGCAGCAATTTTACATCACACTTGAGGTTTGCTAACTCACCTTTCTAGGATAAACAGCAGAGAAGTGTTGACAGAAAGATAGCTTCTTCCTTATATAGGAAAATGATCATTAACTTTATAGGGTGATGTTGGAAAGTATCCCCTAGAAACCTGTAAAATTTAAAAAAAATCTTTTAATTTTTGTGGCTAGGTTTAAAATGAGTAGTGAGATTGTAAGCATCGTTGGAGCATTTTGTGTGTTATCTCTGGCAGCACCAGGCATGCCTGACTTTGGAAGATGCTGGCAGAGACAGGTATTACTAAATATTTCCTGAATGCCTTACCAAATTCATTGCAAGTAGCTTATAATGACAACAGGGATGAGAACATGCACTGGCAAGGAGCTTTCTTGTGGAACACTAGAAGATGAGTCTAAACTGCACTTTTGGCTATTTCTTTTAAATGGCACTTTTTTGGAAACAAATAATTGAATTGTTAACAAACAAAAATACCCTGGTTTTCAAAAAATGAAAAACTCTTAACTGACTTTGAAAGCATTTTTCATGGTTCTTTCTGTAAGAACCAGTATGAAATAAAAAGTGTGGTAAGCATTTACATCTGTCCTAGAGGTGCCTGTTTAAGTTATTAAAACTGAGATACTGCAAACATCGTGAATTGAAGAATTAATTAAACAAATCAGTTTGCTTAGGTTAATAGGCCTTCAGTCAAGGGGCTGTTCCAAAAAAAAAGTGGAAAAAGATGGGAAGTGACTTGCTAAACTTTCACCTCCTTCATAAGAATGCAGAAGAAATGTGTTTTTTCTATATAAATCTTTCTCTAACAAATTCCCTAGATGCCTAAGAAATTAACACATCGGAAGGAAAGAAAGAAAATGGAACTATTTGATATTTTCTGGTAGGGACTTTTGCTTGGAGTCAGTGTGCTGTCTTTGATAGAAAACAAACATTTGTTAAAACTGGAAGTGGATGGACTCCTCTGTCTGATGGTTCTCTGGGCCTAATCTGCTCTTTAAAAGCAGACCAGACGTGTCACGCTCCTATCAAATAGAAACAGCAGCGAAGAAGAGTCCAGTGTGGATAAGGAAAAGCAGTGAGGAGATGGACAAAGGGAATTCAATAGGTTGCTGGTAGTCAGCTTCTAAGTATTTGTAGTTACTGGGGGGCTGAGAAAGCTCTCAGAAGTTCTTGAAAAATTGGCAGTAGTAGATAGATTTGTTAAAATTATTTTGATTTGATGCAGTTTTTGTCATCTAATGTAGAAGATGAGGCACTGGATAGGATGCCACATATCGGCTTTAATCCAAAACACATCTTGTCTCTTCCTTCCTCTTCTATAATTTGTCATTACAGGTTAGCAGCTCTTCTGGGTGAGAATTCACTTACTCTGTTTTTTTGGTGGTTTTTTTTTTTTCCACAATGCATTGAACAATGTAACACTTATAAAAATACAACTAAAAACGCCACTGTTTTCACTGTGTGCCACTTCTTGTTTTCCCCAGGGAATGTATGTGTTTTTGCATGCAGTAAAGGGAACTCCGTTTGAAACACCTGATCAGGGGAAAGCTAGGCTACTAACACACTGGGAACAACTGGATTATGGAGTACAATTTACATCTTCAAGAAAATTCTTCACAATCTCTCCTATAATTCTGTGAGTTGAAAAACTGTATTACGGATTAGTTGAATCATAGAGCCGTGATTTCAAAAGCTGCAACAAAGTGGGTTGCAATTTACATTCTAAAAGCATTTTCTTCCTCTTGCTTGCTTGTTCTACATCACATAAGTAGGAAGTACATATTTACAGGCCATACATTAAACAGCCTTTCTTTCTTTCTGCAGCTTTCAAAACTGTTAATTCACATCCTGAAGTGGAAGTTTGTGAACAGTTACTAATGGGGCAGGTTTCAAAGATTAGGAACATTGTGAGGAAAGCTTGCTGTTAAGTCTTGAAGTTCTTTACAATATTATGAAATCATAAATACTGAAAATGTAAATTAATTGCCATTATTGCAGGCACATGACACAATTTATTAACCATTTTGCAACTTGTGAGTTATAAGAAGTGTGGCAGTCGTGACTGAATGGGCTCCAAGATTTTGCGTGTTGGTTTTGCTTTGTACAGATTGTCTTTTGTTTACACTAGTTGTGCAAATACATTCAAAATTCTACACTGTTTGTCTCTATTGATGAAAGTATGATTGTGTAACTAAAGGAAATCAGATACCTATTTAATACCCAACTCTAGAAAGTATTTCTGTTTTTCCCTTAAGGAAGTTGTCCACTTTTATGGACAGGAGGGGAAGGGAAGATGCTGCATCGTATTTACAAAGTTGGTTCACAAAGGAGAGAAACTGAAAAAAAACCCCAAAACTGCTAAAAATATGTATCTTCATTTCTTCAGAGATAGTTTTCCACTTTCCAGTGGGCATTTTGTATTCGTAACACTTGCATGTGGTTCTGTTCATGCACTAATAATGCACAAGCAGCTGAAAAAACATACTTGTTTTGCTGGGAAAAAAGCAAAAATTCAACCATCCGATAGCCTCATTTCTGTGACTAGTTTTTGCAAAGAATGAGATGAAATTATTGGCTCAAAGTGTAAAGAAGATGGTAGTGAATTGGATTTTCTGAGGCACGTTTCCTTATTCTTCCATTTGAACAGGTTGTGGACTAACTTAAAAGAAATGTGTGTTGGAAACATCTGCCAGACAGGAAACATTTTAGTATCACACCAATCACAGTTGTGCTCAATAGAAATGATTTTTGCACTGAAAAATTTCAAATGCTGTGTCACTGAGCTTGTTAGGGTAGCAGAACTGAACCTGTTGTCATAAATCAGGCTTGTAGCTGCAGAGGTTTGAGGCTAACTTGAGAGACAGGGAGAAATGCTGGGTGCAAAAAACTACCCGAGAGTTGCTTTTTAGCACCATGAGAAGTATGGGGAGAAGAAACTTAGTTTTTTTGCGGATATTCCAGAGTCTTGGGTGAGATATTTAATACAGGAATAGTTTCTTAATGGGTAAAATGTGACTGGTTACTAAAGCGCTTTTTTCAACAATGCTTTGTTTATTTTAAATAAGGGTGTCATGAGCTAAGCTTGTTCCCTTTTCTCCTGCAGGTACTTCCTGGCGAGTTTCTACACAAAATACGATCCAACACACTTTATCCTCAACACAGCCTCTCTCCTGACTGTGCTTATCCCAAAGCTGCCACAGTTGCATGGCGTTCGAATCTTTGGCATCAATAAATACTGAGCAGAAGGTTTGACACTGACCACCCCTGACATGGCTACTGGTGCTCCCCAGGTGAAGGAAACGAGTAGTCTGCTGTGCTGTGTATCTTACCATATTCAATGAGAGATGCTTTTATGTTTGAGATACAATTTCTACTGCCTGCAGCATTGTCCGGGGTGAAAGTCAAGTTTATAAGACGATGCCTTCAAATACTTCAATGTGAACCAGAAATCCCTAGAAGAAAGATTTCATTGAAGAACTGGGCAGGCCCAGCTCTAAAGCATAATTCTCAGTAAGACTCTGTTTGCCTGGCTGATGCTGGTGACTTGTTAGGAAAGTGCAAGGAACAGTTGAAATGGAGAGCAATGTTTCAGAAATGGAGAGCAATGTCTCACAAATACCCAGTCAACCATAATGGAAATGGTAACTTTACATATAAATCCAGGATCCTCAATGCCAAGGACTGGTGAGGCCGTATTCGATTTAGTAGCTAGTTTCTGCTGTATGGATTGTAGGTGGTGGTGCTTGTCATTGCATTGTAAAAGTTTGTCTCACAGTAAATACTGTGACAGCAAGCATAAACTGATGGTGTAATTCATGCCTTATCTGTTCTTGTGATTTTATTTGTCACAATGACTAAAGAATGTCCGTAACTGTCAGCTCAGGGGATTTCTGCATCAACTTGATGGCTCCATTTATGTTTATGCCTTTACAACTTGCCACTGTTGTGATGATTTCCTTTTCCTTACCAGGATACTGACTTTTCTATGTGTTAATTGGACAGCCTGAAAAAATTGAAATTTCTTGTAGGACTTAGATTTTTGGACTATTTTCTCTGATACTTGACTGGTGGGTTATTTTTCAGTAGCTGAGAGGCCTGCAGTTGTGGGGTGGGGAGGGATCCTGCTGCTGTAGAAGCAGCTCCATTGCAGAGCAGCAATGTCAGAGTATGTAAGAGAAACTCTGTTGGTCCTAAGTTAGAACAGAATCTGAACTACAAGTAGGTGAATAGGCAAATCACATGGACTAACTGAATGCTTTTGCAGAAAAAAGGTACAGGTAACTTGCATGTCTTGGCCATGTGGAGGAATGCTGTGTTGTAGGGGTACTGAGTAATCTTGTATATAATCAACACTGGAACGAGGGTGATGGAGGTACATCTAGAGCTCTGAGCACTTATTCCTGTATCTTGGAAAAAGGATGAATTTTCAAGTCGACCATATGTTTGCCAGGCAAAACTGGCTCAGATGTAACTCCATTTCAGACTTGATTTACATTTCAGTTGCAGTGACAGCCAGTGAGCTGGGGAAAAAAAAAAGGAAGGTAGACGCCCACGGTGGCATGTTTTCTCTTGTGCTGAGAGAATTTTCTGGCTATTTACTTTATTGATAAAGCTGCCGTTTAAAAAAAAACAAAACCGTAATGAGTTATGTTTGTTTGTTTGTTTGTTTGTTTTAGCAAATGGAAATAATTGTGTTATTTGCACAGGCAGTGATAAATTATTAACGTTTACATAATGACCGTCCCAAGGCCATGCTGGCCTTTTGAAAAATCACTGTTTTCTGTACAAGGGGGGAGGATTTTCAGCCACGGCCCAAGTTTAGGGGTGCGGAGCGGCGGTGGGTGGGGCCGGGACCCCCGGTGACGGGGCAGGGGGTATCTCGGGCGCTGTACAAAGCTCGTGCCTTGCCGTGTTAAGATGACTTCTGTTCTTCCCGGCCTTGCCGGCAGGCGGGGCCA